AAGAGCGATGTCAGATCAATTTGCTATTCTATGTTATATTCGAGCAGTGAGCGGTCAATGTTGTGATTTGCACTTTTAGGTTTTTTTTCCTTTAAGAAACTTATCCATTCAGAAAACCGTCACTTGTGTTTATGATATCAGACAGTAAGCGGCGAATGTTTCTTGCCACTAGATCCAGTGAATGGGTCACGAAATTTTTTTTATGAATGTACATTTAATTTAGTTCTCGAAATACTTTTTCTCAAAAAATTACTAGCATTTTGAAAGCATTTTTTGGAAATGGCCAACGCGGCGTCCCTTCATTCGGTAAAAGTTCTCTTGCTTCCTTCCATCCATTTTCATCTTATACAATAATTTGGTGTTTTCAAAATCACTCGAAAATTGCAAAAATGCAAATTCTTAGCACATTTTCTCAAGTATTAAAGAATGGAAGAGAACAAACTATAATACTTGGAAATACGTGTGCAGACGTTAGTATAGTTCACTGACGATTCAGGACTTGCGTACTAAAATCCACTTCGCTAAGTGTAACTTCCTTCGAAAAATGTCCAGTTTTTAAATGAAGGAAAGGACTCTTTAAATTGGCGCGCAAACATATTTTTCTGCGATGCAAAAGTCACAATATGGCCAATAATTATTTTTTAGCTACTTTTTCCTGCCGAAAATGATCATAGAAAAGTGCGGATTTTTTTCGTTTTTTTTTAAACAAATTCGTGCAAATTCACTTCGAGGCAAATGTAATCTGTTTTCTGCGTACGCTCGATTTTTTTGATAATCCAGCTGGTTGATACATTATAGACAAGAAAGAACTTCGACGCAGTTACCTAATAAGTTATAGACAACTTTATTTCGTTTTGTTTACATTGAAGAATGCAGTAAACTATTTTTGTAAAACCAAATGGTTAATCCACGATGTTTAGGACGTGAAAATATGAGAGAACGAGAGAGGGGAGAAAAGGAGGGGGAAGCCCTACACTAGAAGAAATTTGCAATTAGAACCGCAACCCCGGCGATACTTGAGTCTGTACGTTAATTTCCCTATAGTTGCTAAATTTCCCTGTACTAGCAGTCTTTCCTTGAAGCCACCGAATCTGTACCCTTTGATTCAACTGGGTTGGCGGCTGGAAGGCGGGGCTTCGTGACCTAGTTAAGTCTAGAGGATGATCAAAGAGCACTTCCGCGAGAGAAACGCAGAATGCGTCGCGGGCAGGGCGATCTCCCTCCAGCCGCCAACCTTTTGAATCAGAGGGTATTTAGATCCACATTCGTCGTATCACAAGTACTGACCAAAGAAATTGCGTGCTGCTTCATACATACTCATTTTGAAACAGGAAAAATTGATAAATTTGGAGTCGGATGATTTTTCTCCGGAAAAAAGATGAAAAAAGAAAAATATGTGCTAGATAAAAACAATTATCGATTTCTATCTTACGACTTATAACTACCTTATAAGTAGTGAAGTAAAACTAGAAGTGAAAATCGGAAAATGGATAGGGGGTGATTTTTTCTATGCTAATACCGTTGCAATGATTTCAGCGCCATGCTAACGCACATACGTGTGCAAAGGGGGAACATGGCCTTTCCAGAGTGAAGGGGGTCATAGGGGTCCCGCCTCTCCGGGGTGAAGGGGGTATGAGGGCCGTTGGGGGGGGGGGGGGAGAGCGGCCGCGGCTGTGGAGGTGCGTTGACCGGGGGGGGGGCAATGTTCGTCATCATTGCTTCTCATGTTCTTTTCATTCACATGCATCAAATGAAATTGTAGCCAAGCCGGGTCAAAGTCGAATATTGGGTTCTATCCGCTTAAATTCGAAGAAGAAAAACTGGAATAAGTGAGACTAAGAAATCAACATTTTAAGCAAAATTGTAAAACTATCGGCATCATTAAAGTCAAATTTAGTGACATGTTGATTCTGAATATTATTATTATGATTGTCAAAACTTACTTGCAGGCTCACTGAGAAGTGCATCGGAAATTTGCCGCCTATTGTTTACTTCTAGAGAACGATGAAAAAGCCTGTAGAAAAATTTAGTGTGAAGCCTTTGTGTATATACGTCAATGAAATTATTACTCACGTATTTGCTGAAATAATAAGTGAAATAATAAATAAACTTTGATGATCGGTGCGCAGTTAAATTGCATTCTTTTTATGAGGTATAAATTTTCTAAGCAGATGGCGGAATCCGTGTAAAGTCATTGAATGATTCCTTAAAGAGTCATTGTTCCAACTTTTATTATTATTTCTAAACTCCGAAAGAGATCGTAACATTTGCTAGAGAAGCAGGTGCAACAGAGGCACCTATTACATTGAAGAGTTGGTGTAATCAGGGTTAGAAAGTTGGAACAATGACTCTTTAAGGAATCATTCAATGACTTTACACGGATTCCGCCATCTGCTTAGAAAATTTATACCTTATAAAAAGAATGCAATTTAACTGCGCACCGATCATCAAAGTTCATTTATTATTTCACTTATTTTGACTTATTGTCAAAATGTTATAGCTACGAGGATCGTGGAGTTCTACAATCCGCCTACTTGGACGATGATAGGGATGAAGCAGCCAGAGATGCATTTTTCCACCTTGGAGCACTATACAAGAGGAGAAGGACAATCGTATATGATCACTGCGTGATTATTCTAAAAAAATTCATCGAAGAGGATTAGGAAATATAAAAGATCTTAGAAGGAGAACTCAGTCATAATCAGCCTACTCTAGTTTAGAAGTCTACTTTCCATCCGCTTTCAGAAAACATACAGCTTGCCAGGAAAAAGAGGGTTTTTTCTGCTAAACAGAAATAGTTTTAGTCATTTTTTCAAAATTGTAGAATTTCTCTATAAAAAATTGTAGATTTTTGATATGAGAAGACAAGAGAGTCTCTAGCCATACATTGAATTACTCTTGCTGAAAGCTTTCAGAAAATATATAGCTTACCAAGGAAGAAAGGATTTTCCTATATTGTGAAGGTGGTCGCAATTGTTTTTCTAAAATTAAGGAAATTTTTTTTATAAATCATAACTTTACTATACGAAAAGCTAGAAGAGTGCTTTGCACTCTGTTGAAATCCGCTCGTCGTCCGCTTTCAGGAAATATACAGTTTGCCAGAAAAAAAGGGGATTTTCCTATCGGGTGAAAGGGGTCGCAGTCTATTTTCCGGATTTAAGCCAATTTTTAACTTAAAAAAATCATAACAAATTTATATGAGAAGCTGGGAGAGTGATTAGGTGTTTGTTGAATTCCTCTCGTCGTCCGCTTTCAGAAAATATATAGCTTGTAGGGAGAGGGATGCTAAAAGCACGTGGTGAAAGGGGAGGGAACATGGTATAATGGAAATCTTCCTTTCTGTACTCAAAAAGCGTCGTTTTAAGGAGCTAAAGGAACATGCCCATTATACCATGTTCCCTCCCCTTTCACCACGTGCTTTTAGCATCCCTCTCCCTACAAGCTATATATTTTCTGAAAGCGGACGACGAGAGGAATTCAACAAACACCTAATCACTCTCCCAGCTTCTCATATAAATTTGTTATGATTTTTTTAAGTTAAAAATTGGCTTAATTCCGGAAAATAGACTGCGACCCCTTTCACCCGATAGGAAAATCCCCTTTTTTTTCTGGCAAACTGTATATTTCCTGAAAGCGGACGACGAGGGGATTCCAACAGAGTGCAAAGCACTCTTCTAGCTTTTCGTATAGTAAAGTTATGATTTATAAAAAAAATTTCCTTAATTTTAGAAAAACAATTGCGACCACCTTCACAATACAGGAAAATCCTTTCTTCCTTGGTAAGCTATATATTTTCTGAAAGCTTCAGCAAGAGTAATTCAATGTATGGCTAGAGACTCTCTTGTCTCTTGTCTTCTGGCAAGCTGTATGTTTTCTGAAAGCGGATGGAAAGTAGACTTCTAAACTAGAGTAGGCTGATTATGACTGAGTTCTCCTTCTAAGATCTTTTATATTTCCTAATCCTCTTCGATGAATTTTTTTAGAATAATCACGCAGTGATCATATACGATTGTCCTTCTCCTCTTGTATAGTGCTCCAAGGTGGAAAAATGCATCTCTGGCTGCTTCATCCCTATCATCGTCCAAGTAGGCGGATTGTAGAACTCCACGATCCTCGTAGCTATAACATTTTGACAGTAAGTCTAACCCTGATTACACCAACTCTTCAATGTAATAGGTGCCTCTGTTGCACCTGCTTCTCTAGCAAATGTTACGATCTCTTTCGGAGTTTAGAAATAATAATAAAAGTTGGAACAATGACTCTTTAAGGAATCATTCAATGACTTTACACGGATTCCGCCATCTGCTTAGAAAATTTATACCTCATAAAAAGAATGCAATTTAACTGCGCACCGATCATCAAAGTTCATTTATTATTTCACTTATTATTTCAGCAAATACGTGAGTAATAATTTCATTGACGTATATACACAAAGGCTTCACACTAAATTTTTCTACAGGCTTTTTCATCGTTCTCTAGAAGTAAACAATAGGCGGCAAATTTCCGATGCACTTCTCAGTGAGCCTGCAAATAGGTTTTTGATGATCATATTGATGATATTAGGAATTAAAATATTACTAAATTTAATTTTAATAATGTGGATAGTTTTATAATTTTGCTTAAAATGTTAATGTCTTAGTCTCACTTTTTCCACTTCCTCATCGGCCCTGGGTGAAGGGGGGTCAGCTGGGTTCCGCCCCTGGGGTGAAGGGGGTAGAAACACATTATCGCCTTTTCACATGTATGCTAACGCAGTGTGATGCCGCACCGGAAAACACCGACAACACGCTGCGTGTTCCGGCACGACACTTGCACGGCGCTGGCTTGACGCTGGAGCCGCACTGGCACCGCATTGGCACGGCGTCGACACGGCGCCGGCACACATATAACCATAGACTCTTCTTGTGCATGATATCCGATTCACTTCGCTGTATGCAAAATTACCTCTATATCGATGGAAAACTCAAAAATCATCATTACGAAAAAAAACAAATACTCACCTTCATATTGAACGCAGCAAACCAATCAATATCATTAACGGATTTTCGTGATTGTTTTCGCTCTCCATCCAACGTATCTTCACTGCTATTCTTTCGACTTTTATTGATGACAACGATCGGAGACGATGGGACACGAGGTGGCAACGGTGGTAACAATGCACCTTTGCCGTCACCTTCGTTTTCATTTGCAGTCTGCAAAAAAAAATAACCTCTACAGGTTTTTCGGCTCCCACAGCGAAGAGGGTGGAACGCGATGAAAAAGTATGCGCTTCATGAAGAAGAATGAAAAAAAGGAAAAAATCAATAGTAAAAAAATATTGTAAATATTAACGAACCAGACTAGTAAAGACTTCGTCTAACTTTTTATCAACTTGAACTTTCGGAAATGAATGGGATTGCCTCAGCTCTCGGCCATCACTGATCAGCTCCATTTGAGACCTGCAAAGAAAACATAAAAAAATAAAATTTAAAAGTTTGTAAGCATCAACCAAGTGAATTCCAGCCAGAAAACATCAGACCCTACAAGGAAAAGATGTATTTATAGCTTAGATGGCCTCAAAAGATGGCTCTGCGTGTCTTTTCATCGAAAACTTCTCTCGCAGAAAAGGCAACATTGAGCTGGAAAACTAAGAGGATTCATTTTTGTAGATGAAATGCGATAGAGGGAAATTTGATATAAGATTATAGGCTCCCAAATGATTTTGCCGTAATCTTTCGGAAAATTCATGAAAATCAAATAAACCAGTCTCGCCATGAAGAGGCAGTATTTGATTTGAGTGATTTAGATTAGAACCTTTCAAATAAGATTTATTCATATAAGAAAAAAACAAGGTCCTTGTCAAAATAAATCAAATTTGAGTCAAATTATACACTCAATCGCATTTTAATTTCAAAATAAAAAATAGAACTAATAAAGTGACGGATTCATAATATGTAGATCTGAGCGACAGCTAAGCATATTCTGGTAAATTTTACTGACTAAGAGAACGGATACGAAACTTTTTAGGAGAGTAAAAATTCCAAATTTAATTGATTAGAAAAATAAAGGTTGAAATAGTAATCAAATCAATTTTTTAGGATAAAACTGAGTAAACTTGTAACCTTTCACAACTTTTATACCCTCTAAAAATGAGCAATACAAATTTTCGCAAAAAAGGGAAGACACTTTAGCTTTGAAAAGGCCTTGAGCTTGAGATATAAAGAAATACAAAGAAAAAGCACATGGAAAGTGAACCAAAACTCAAAAAAATGAAAACAGTACTTTGGAAGCTTCAACTCATCTCAGACTTTACTCCTAATATACAAAAATCTCTCGAGAACTTACCTCAAAACTCGATGAAGCGCATAACTAATAGATTGGAAGAAACTTGAGAAGCAGTTGAAAAATTGCAGCTTCATGAGAGTAGAATGTAAGTATGTGAGAAGCTTAACTACTATAGTGCAACAGACCAGGTGACTCTAGGCTTTGACACTACCCATAAATCATACAGATTCATCCCTACATTCCTCAAACTAATTGCTATTTGCTGTGCAGAATCCTCGCCTTTTACTTTGTATTTATAATCCCGATATTGCGAAAATCAAAGGTGATATGCATTAAGGGCATTTGCTATATGATCTTTGTTCATCAACAAGATCCTAGGTTAATTCTAAGCCTCTGAACTTTCCCCAGATCAAATTTCACTGAAGAAGAGGATCACGAAGGATAAGTTACACATTTGCACTTGTCAAATTGACGTCTTAACAGTCGGAGTTCTTATAGTTTGTTTTGATCGAAGGTGGAGAATTGAATAAAAGTTTTACATGCACTTTAAAGTTTGTAATATTTGCTTTAACATTTTCAGTAATTTTTCGTCTTTGTGCTTTTTGCTCTGAATCATTTTTCTTGTTTGCTTGCTCTCAATCACTGATGATCATGTACTTGGCAGAAAAGAGTTGGCGTTTCTTCCATCAGTCATTTTTCTGACGCACTGAGGAAAGTCTCACATCGAGGGTAAAGTGAGCATAATTATATTCATGGATGCTTGCCCTTGATGACGCTATTAAGATTGATATCGTAAATAGCTAAAGGGCCGGGCATACTTCACGCGATTTGGCAATCCGCCAGAAGTTTTCAGATCCAACACTAGTGAACTGCACATGCATAGCGTGTCTTTCTTGGATTGATGAAATTCCCTATCTTCTCTACATTTAAAATATGCTTACAGTGTATGGACAGTTGGAATATTGCCAAATCGCGTCGCGACTGAAATCGCGTGAAGTATGCCCGGTCCTCAGGGTGGAACTAGTATGGCCTTAGCTGACAATTACGATAAATGAGCTTCGTGTGAGCGGGAGATACCGTATACCTACAGTATTAATAGATCAGCTGACGTCGGATTTTTGAAAAATGTTAAGCTAGTGCCCATGCTCTCAAACGAATCAAAGATTACTGAGCTCTCTATTCTGGATAGGGTATTCTTCGTATGTTGGCCTAAGCAAAATTCAAAAGATTATTTTTCGTGCATTCTTTTTTTGCAGTAGAATGAGGGAAGAAGGAGAGTTCCTGAGTATTGATGAAACAGGTGATTCTCATGGGAAACCCAGTTTTTAAAAATTGGGATCCCCTGAAAAGGAACAGGTACGACTTACAATTGGAAATGGCCGCTTAACACATCAAACTTTTTCAGTTGATTATCACCATATTGTTCTATCGCAATCACAATATACATAATTCCTGAAATAACATTTCATTCTCATGAATGCGCTTTGTAAAAAAAACAGTAGGTAAAAGGATCTATTTAGAAGTCAGAAACTGACGCTTCTCATATTTACCAGAAGCTTGCTGAACATTTGCACATGGTCTGTCAGCTGCACGCATCACTTTTTTCTGTAATTGGTACTCGAACAACAAGCTTTAGACTAGCAAACAATCTGAGAAACTTTTCCATATGTTTTGATTTTTAATAGCAGTTTCTACTTCTGTTTTGGTCAAAGTGATGAGCGCTATGCTCAAAATGCGATTTGTCCTATTTTTTTCTATTGGGAGGACTTGAAAAAGGAGGAAAGGCTAGTTGAAAAAAATATTGAAACACTAGGCTTGAAATTAGGCGCGACATGTCTATTAATAATTAATAATTAGTAAATAATAATAAAATAATTGTTTTGGAAAATTGGTCAAAAATTTTAAGCTGTAGATCTTAAAAGCAGAAAGAATCAGTAGCTACAAGTTCAGTTGAATTCTACCCGCTCAATATGTAGTTAGCAGTGGCGGACCGAGGGGGAGGGGGCAGAAATTTTTGATATTACTTGTATGGGTTATGAAGAAGTTATAAAAAAATGACTTGTAAACAACGACGCAAACACCTTGTAAACAACTGAAATAATTTTTTAAAAATTACTAAAAATTCGAATTAACCTTGTAAAATTTTTTTTCGGGGGCGTGACTGACGCCATGTCCCCTTTTTCTCGAGTTTAGGGGTTGGGAACCCGCAAAAATTATGAGAAGCACCCTAAAAAATTTTTCGGAGCGTGTTAACGTCACGCACCTTCATTAAAAGAATTTTTTTGCCTCCCTTCCCCCCCCCCCCCCTCTATGGACGGAAATCCTGGGACCGCCACTGGTAGTTAGTGGTTTTTTCAAAAACTTTGAAAAAATTCTAGAAAACTTTAAAAGATTTTGTTTGGAGCTTGCTTAGAGTTAGTAATCCGCTAAGTTAGAGGAAAGGTCGAAACGGCCGAAAAGATAAGGAAGGTCAATGAAAAAAATGAAAAAATAGAAGCGGAAGTGAAAAATGGAGTTGTTTTTAGCCGATTCAAATAAACTGACCTCTCCTACGCACGAAGAAGTATGATCAGCTGTACATCTTTCCCGCAACCTGATCTTTTCTATCTCGCCACTGCACTTGTTTGCACTTTTCAAAATGGAGCTATTTCATTGTGTAAAACTTTTCAATAACATAAAATAGCAGATCAAAATAAATTAAAATGTGGGTGGTTTTACGCACATTGACAATATGACCAGAGCATGTGAGAGCGTCATTCTGTGAGTAAATTTCAAATTCAACCCGCTTTAATACATAGGCTGGTAATTTGATCTACCCTATTTTTCAGGTGTATAAGCCGCACCCTTTTCGCTCTAAACGCGAGCAGACCCAGGCGTGCCGCCGCGCATATGCCGTCGCGAAGCGGTCGCCTTATCGCATACTGCTCTCACTCAACGCGCTCCATGAGTCATTCTTTTGGCGTGCTCGTCTTTAGAGCGAAAAGGGTGCGGCTTGTACACCTGAAATAGGGCAGGTAAAACGAGCTTTTTTGGCTCTTCGAAGGTAAGCTCAACCCCCAGGGCGTAAGCTATATCCCTATAAGAAGAAAGAAATTTGGAATCAATTACATCAAACACTCACTTACTTTGATCCCGCTATTTAGTATGTAGGGCTGTTTTTGCATTAGGCAGTTTTTTTTGGGGGGGGGGGGTTGTAGGTTGTGAAAATTGACGAGACTGTACGCAATATTGTACCAGGCATTGTCTAGTGTATTTTTTCATAGTTATGCGCAAATCGTATAGGCAACTGAAGAGAGCTGGTAAAAGAACTCCAATAATCGAACCGACCGAAAAATTTAAGCCATAGATTTCTCATTCAGAAAATTTATACGAAGAAAACTGAATTCTGGCTTTGATTGATTCTTACCCTTAAACAGCGGGATTGGCGGCTGGGAGTCGGGGCTTGGAAGCCCAATCAAGGATAGGGGATGATCAGAGAGCACGCGGGCGAGAGCGACGCAGACTACGTCGCGGGAGCGAACGGTCGCCTTCCAGCCGCCAATCCTGTTGAACCAAAGGGTAACTTGTATCATTTTAGCTCATGGGATTTACTCTAATTAACCATAAAATAGATAAGAAATACATGTAAAAAAACAAGCATGCTTCATACTTCCAAAACTACTATTACTGCATTGGAAAATACAAATGTGCTAAACTACTCTCATTATTTTTAGCAGTAAAATGGAGTAGAGAAGTAAAGAAGGCGTGACCAGAGTGCACTAAATTTTTGGTTTGTGTGCTTTCGTAAGAGATGAATGATGGCGCCAATTTAATGAGCAGCTGTCTTCACTACCTTAATTTATTTACATGCAAGGGTAGAATTACTGAGCTTGCTGTAAAATCATGTGTTTAAGAAGGAAAAGCCAGGATGGACAGGATAGGCCCAGTTGTGAAGGGTGGGCAGAGATAAGTGCGTATAGACAAATTTACTTTTTACATTCCTAAAAATGAGAATACGTTATAGAGTTGACCTATTTATGCAAATGAAACTTCATCGAGCTTCATTCTGAAGACAAAGTTCTACTGACCATAATTTGAGGTGATTTACTAATGCCAGGGTAAAGACCATAATTCACCTAGAGCCTTTTCAATTCAGCATAAAAGCCTATAATCGTCTTTCAAGGACTCTAACCTT